CCCTTGCGAAATGATCGTTTGTCGTGTTGCTGCCGGATTTTTTGTCGCCGCCCGCAGAGACCAGAAGAGCGAGCTCTCGGGGACGTTCTAATACCAGAGGATGCCCCAGGAGGAGCCGGCGAGGGCGGCGGCGATGACGCCATTGGGGTGTCGGTGGAGCCGCCGGGATTCCTGAAGAGAGTGTTCTCCATTCCGAAGAACGTTCGACGAACGGCGGCCGCCGGAGACGTGGTGGTTCCTGTGATAGGCGCGAGGGACGGGTGGGGAGGAATTCGGCAGGCAAGCAGTATTTTGGTTCATTTGCGCGCTGCGGTGGGCGCGTCGAGTCTTAGAACGCTTCGGGCCGTTAGTCGGGGATCGGGGGTGATCGGGTGGCAAGATACTATCGCGACCCAGCTTTGCTCTTGGCTGTCTTTCGCTACGGCGTTCAAATATATTTGTGTAACAGCGTTCGAAAGCCTTGAACTTTCACATTTTGTCTTCGCTCTCTGTTCGCGAACGTGACCACTCACGGAGGCCTGAGCTGCATTCCTTTGTCTTCTCTCTCGCTCCCTGTCTCTCGAGCTGGTGTCTCGAGACCCGGTCTTGGCTTGTTTTGAGCTCAGATTAACGTACAAACGGTCACATTGCGTTCGAATATCACGACTGTGCGTGATACGAACGACAAATGGACAAGTATGCACGTGATACATTCACAGCGGACACTGTTCGCAGGGTTCTTATCTTCCTTCACGGGGGTGATTTCGACTAAACATTGGGTGCGTGCGTGGTAGACAGGTCTCAGGCACGAGACCGCCTCCTTGAAATGTAACTGTTGCCTCTTCGTCGAAGCTTGTGGCTTAACCACCGACGCTTCCACACCCTTTAGGACAGACGAGGGAGCATCCGACCGCTCTGGATCTCTGCCCAATGTCCCTTATGTATCCCTAGTATCGTGACATGTACGGAGTATCACGTACTCGGATTCAGTCACGGTACATCATCGTATTTAGTGCATCTACACACACCAACTAAAACTATATTTCCGAAGTCGTGCTTTCCTGTTCCTCCGCACAACACATCTATGACAATAAACGCGGATTCATGAACTTTAGCCCAAAGGTGCGCGGGGTTTCCTGCGTAGGCGTGCACCATCCCCTCCCGTTCGCCGCCCGTGGATCCCCAACAAACGATTCCGCTTTGTTTTTTCGCTTCCGAAACGTCCACGTCTCTCTCTCTTCCCAGCGCCTCGCAGACCAAGGCATCTATCCGGGCGTCGAGTACCGCATCCTCGAGATATCAGTCTTCCCCACCGCTCGCACACCTCCCACCGGCGACAGCACTAAAGCGAGCAGCGATTCTGCCGCCGCGGTAGCACCCTACCTATCCTCTGCTTCCCAGCCTGAGCAGCAGCAGCAGCAGCAGCAGCAGCAGCAGCAGCAGGAACAGCAGCCCGATCTCGACGCCGAGCCCACCGCCGTGCTAGCCTCGGCGAGGGACGCCCCCCCGGAATCCTTCGACGACGGCTCGCTGGTCTTCACGATGCGCCCGATCTACCCTCTCGTCGCTCGCCTGGAGCGCGGGGACTGGCCAGTGCGCGTCCCCGCCAGGGAGTTCCCCGTGATGCTGACGCCCTTCTCGTACAACGCGGCGACGGCGTGGGCGGCGTTCACGACCTCCCTGTCGCTGCTGTCGGTGGGCTTCGTGCTGAGCCAGGCGCTCACCCTGTCCGTGATCAACAGCCACAGCATGGAGCCGACACTCCAGGTGTGTTTGTTTGACTACCACGGACTTTCTCTTACTGCTGCTGCGGTTTTCCGTGCGGAGGGCGGTGGAGGCAAGAGGGCCGATGTTGGAGGGCTTGTGTTTCGTGCTTGATTTGGAGGCCGTTGTTGAGTTTCAAACGAAACACATTTAATCGAAATTGGGAGTGGTTCGAGGTGCCTGAACACTGGCATGACTCGACAAGAACTAGAACGAATAGAGGCCATATTTCGACATTTGTTTCTTGTTTGTAGGAAATTGTTTCTTTTTCGCCGGGTTCTTCGTCGATATTCCAGATAATTGAAGGTTCCAAGCACTGCTCTAGTGTCCAAGGATTTTATTTTCAACAAGTGTGCTGAGTTTGAAATACTGCAAGAAGTGTGCTGCGTTTGAAATCAGCCATATGATGGATAGACAAGGCATGCGCTCGTGGGGTTGGCACCATCGCAGCGCATTGTAATTGCCAGCCTACATACCCGTGGTGCCTTGTGTCCTCGAGCTCGCCACCATCACCACCATCACCACCATCACTGCCACGACGACGACCACCACCGCCACTTCCCACATCAACAAGAGTCAGCGGCAAACAAACAACGCCACCACGCATCTCACGAGAACATTTTTTCCATCCCTGTTTTTTCCTGCCTTGTATTTCTTCAAGGTGGGCGACGTGGTCCTGGTGGAGAAGGTCTCTCGGTCGTTCCTCGTCAAGCCGAACGACATCGTCTACTTCAGGCCGCCCCCAGTGCTCCAGGACATCGTCTCGAGGGCGGGGGGCACCCTCTCCCCCAGCGACCTCTTCGTCAAGCGCGTGGCAGCCCTGTCGGGCGACACGGTCACCGTGAGCGCGGACGGGAGCGTGGACGTGCGCGCGGCAGCCGGCGGCGGCATCACGCGGCTGCCGAAGGGGACGAATCGAGCCGATAACGGAGGAAGCGCAGCGGGGGGAGAATCTGACGTTATTCTTGGGGACGGCGTCGCGGGGCAAGAGGGGAGTGCGGCTGCGGTGGCGGCGGCGAAGGGTGGGACACTCGCGGAGGAGAAAGTTGCCCTCCCGGACAGCGTGCTGCAGCGAATAACGCGGCTGGACGAGAAGGTGCTGCCGTCGGGGAGCGTGTTTGTGCTGGGGGACAACCCGGCGGCATCGATGGACTCGAGAGTTTGGGGGCAGCTCGACAAAGGGGAAATTGTTGGGCACGCGTTGCTGAGAGTATTTCCCCCGCGGTCGTTCGGGCTACTCCAGTAGCTGGTTGGATGGCGGAGGTTGAGAGAAGGAATGAAAGAAAAAGGACGAAGAAGCGAGAGACGGGGCGAGAGGATTGGGGTGGGGAGGGAATGCTGCGATTTTTGTGCCCTCTGCCACGGGTATCAAGGTGTGGCTTGATTGTTATTTCCCGGCTGTGGCTTGTTTATCTTTTGGGGCGAACATTAGACGGGAGAATGTCAGGTGCAAAGGCCTATTGGTAGGGTTGGGTGAATCAGTACGTACTGCCAGTGCACATGCACTGGCAGTGCATGTGCACTGGCTGCGTCAACAGCCAGTACTTCAGCACATTTTAATTTTCGCAGATTTCGTCAATAGTAGGCCTCAAGAACAAGCGGAAACCCATCTATTCACGCCGCCTCTGAGAGAGACACAGCCACACAGCAGTCCGAACACCAAACACGCCACACAGGTCGGGAGACGATACAACGATGGACAGGTTTGTAGTCGCCCCTGCCAGCTTGCCGTCTGCTGCAGACCCCGGCAGTGGTGCTGATGATGCAGGGGCTGCTGCGTCAGCAGCAGCAGCTACGTCAGCCGCGCAGCAGCAGCAGCAGCCGGATGCGCCGGCACCGCCCGGAGCAAGCGACGAGTTCGGCCGGGCAGAGATCAAGTACAGCCAATCGCCATCAAGCAGCCTTCGAAGACTGCACACGGCCTTCAAGGTGTCCACAGGTATCAAGATGTACGAGGAAGACAAGGAAGGCACAAAAGTGTACCTTGACCCCTTGGACTGGTGGTGGGTACGGTGCGCAGACTTCCCGCACTCGGCCAACCTCGCCCGCCGTGTGCTGGCGATCCCCGCCACTATGGCAGAGTCCGAGCGTCTGTTTTCCTGCGCTGGAAACATCGTTACGAAGAATCGCAACAACTTGGCCCCGACCACCGTGGAGCTGCTCGTCGTCCTTCTGCGCCACTCGTGGAAGATAGTGGAGGAATGGGAACAATAGAACACCCCCGCGGCCGCGAAGAGGGGCTGGGGTAGTGGCTGTCTTTCATGGGGAGGATCTTAGTTTGGTTCTCTGGTGAAGGGTGCTGGTGGCGCAAAGAATCGCCATCCTAAGTCTCTGCTTGTTGTGCTGGTGCTAGCGGCAGTGATTTGTGCGCGGTGTAGGTTGTTCGGTTGCGTGGCTTTGGCGCTGTTCTTATCTCCTTCTTGAGCATTCTATCAAGCTGGTGGTTCATTTGTTGCGCAACTTATCCTGTCGTTTCTAGGCAGACTAGACTACTAGATAGACTGACTGGTCGTTTCCTTTTTAGCTTTTTAACTCTTAGCTGGTTTCTTGGTATACGTTCAGGGCTGCGGTGTCGTTGTGTCCTTCGTAGAGTCCTTCGTGTTTCTGCGAGAAAGGGGCTGTAGAGTCCAGTATACGAGAGCGTCGCTCATCAACCCAATTGATGGATGTCACTTGGTTGCTTGGGAGTAACATGTCAATATTTTTAGCTAAATATTCCCTTATTATTTTGTCGAAAACCAACAAATTCAGTCGTTGAACTCGAAATCTCTATCGTTTTCCCCGCGATAGGGTCTGTCAGAGGGCCAAAATCACCCATTTTTATGCTCTAGTGAAGCCAAATCGCGTTAAAAAGTGCCTCCGGCGGGGCGCCTCCAGCGGGGTCCTCCGGGGGCGCCTCCGGCGGGGCCCCCTCACTAGCCGGGGTAGGCCCGAAAGGCGTACATACGCCAGCGCTGGCGAGATTCTTGCACTCGCCAGTTCAACAATTTTGGGGTTGTGACAGGAAGTAGACACGAAACCAAAGCCAAAGCAGGTTTCCAGCCCTCAGGCAGCACCAAGACGCTAGGCCTCACTAGGCCTAACCCAAACCCAAACCCAACACCCCAAAATAGGTTGTTGTGCAGTGGGTAGGCCTAGGTCGCTGTACCGAGCTACGGGAGCGTGTAAGCTGGTGTATATACGCCTCGTCAGGTAGGCCGATGGTCGCGGCTGCGCCGCGACCGCGCGGCTTCGCCGCGCCACCAGTGTACTGATCGGATCCAGTTTACTGGCTGCTGACGCAGCCAGTATACTTTTTACTGGCGCGCAGCGCCAGTACCCAACNGTAGTCTATTGAGGGCTTGTCCTCGGAACGTGCAATTGAATGTTATTATTTAGGCTACGCCCCATCGACGTAAATAAAGTTGATACATGGTAGTCTACAACAAACGTTTTTTTCAAACTTCCTCTTACGCAAGTTGTTGGTGTCTCAAACTTCTACGGCTGGGCAAAACTGCGGCAGTTGAAGCGGGGGCAGCATCGTCCGTGCGAGTTATCGTGACGGTTATTGGCACGCAATTGACATCCACAATGAAAGTCTCGAAATTCCAACTCCCGCTAAGGGTGAGAAGACGCTACATACAATATGTTGTGTGGCTACAGCAGCATACGTTTTCACCGTCAACAAGAAGAGCACACTCTACAATCCTCCGGTCTTAACCACCTTGGTTCTCGCAGCAGAAACTACTAGATGTATGTATTCGGTGCAGTTGACGCTGGCGCCTACAAATCGCGCCGGCAAGCACTAGATAATGATCCAATCACCACACAACTTGGTGAGAGCGGAGAGATGGCAGTTCTTGCAGTACCCCCATGCAACCGGTGGAAACCGCGTCGCCTCCCGCACTTGTTGCTCCGCGTGCCACTTGCTTCGCTTCGCTTGTTGGGTTGGTTCCCTCGGTGGGCCCAGAACAGGAGGTAGCATTGCTGGGAGGATGGCAATGTTAGCGGATGATGATGTTGATGACACTGCTGGTGTTGGTAGCAGCAACTTCGATGCTAGCTCCGGGGTGGCCGCAACAGCAGCAGTTCCTCTCAAGCAGACAGCCGAAGATCAGGATGTGGTCTATAACTGCAGGATGTGCCGGCGCGCCGTGTTCAATGGCGCGGACATCGAGAATCACGAGGCGGCGCAGCACAACTTCCGCCGTCGAAAGGTACCAAAGAGTTCAGGGCTAAGAGAAAGCTTGCCCCACATTGGGAGCAACCTTTGCGGTCGCTGTGACAAGGGGGCGACGTCGTAGGAATTGCACCCCCTAGCTTGAGGAACGCCTATTGCGTTGTATCGATGCGATACTGCTGTAAGACACCTGAGAGGAACGATGCACATGCGCTGTTCACCCCAATAGCACGAGAGACTCCTATCCTTTGCTGCTCGGCCGGCGTTGCGGCTATTGCAGCGGCGGCGGCGCGAGTTTTTCTGTGCTCAAGATTGTTGAATGAGAGCATCAATGCCGTAGATGACACAATATTTCACACCGCCTTGGAGCGATGCGCGAACCTTAATTACCGCGTACAGAAGTTTTTTTAGATATACCACAGCAGTAGGCTACAACCGTAGTCAACTGCTGCATACAATTGTCTATTCTTCCTCCTCCATCGGTCCTACGATGATCTTCAATTCCTAGCTGCGGAGCCCTCGTCAAGCTGTCAGTACATCATCCTAGTTTTGCGCTGTGACTGTATAATACGGATTAGTACAAGTAGTAAATTTGGCCAGCATCCGACCTTGCCTTTTCTGTGCAGTTCGGTCAAAACTTTGGGCTGCTAGGAATGCCGAGAGCTCCCTCTTATCCCGCTCTTGTCGTTCAGCAGTTTCCCATCCCGCGGGAAGCATAGCGCCACTGGGCCCAAAACATGCGGTACGCGTGTGCTGTCTACTTCCGTGCGCCACGCTGAGCTTTCCGCAGGACCCCCCATCCTTCCCCCTCTCCCTTCGCGTGTCCCCCCTCGCTGCAGTCGAAAAGCGCAACGCCCAAGGGGCCGTGCTCGTCCATCTTCCTGTCCGAGCCGAAACGGTGGTGAGTGAACGATTTACGGCGGTTGGGGACAACGGGGCATGAAACGCCAACAGCGGCGGAGATGGGTGCACACCTACTTGTTGGGCTTCCACGGGACATGGTTCACCTACAAACCTAAACCTGAATTGTATGGTTGAAGGCTTGTTTTTAGTCCGATGAAAATCACGTGCTATAGGTAAGATTGGGAGGTTCAACGGCTGCAACAGTGCCGCACGGGAGGGCCAATGACTTGGAAACGCTTTGCAGACAAGCGACATGGAAGTGGTGGGCGTGTCTAGGTGTGTTGCTGTTTGTTGCCATCTCGACATCAAAAACCGTTCCAGTCGGTGCTCGGTACCTTCTAGCATCGGCACCGGTCCATCTGACGCGGACGCCTTCCGTGGCCACAGGCCAACAAAGGGCGCACGAGACTAGAAATCGAAGAACGGAGAAAGAGGGACCTATGAAGTCCTCAAACGTGACAGCAGATCACATAGTTAGCCGGGAGGTGAGCGAAGGAGAGGTTTGTGTGCGCGCGCAATTTTTGCAAAATATTACTTTGTGGCGTCCAAATTCTCGCTGAAGCATCGTGCCGTCACGTAGCACGCCACCGTCCTCAACGCGATCCATCTTTACTTAACGGCAGCGGCACGAGCAACACCGAAAACGCCCTCGCGGTCTTTTTTTTTGTCTGGCGCAGGATGAAGCAGCAGGCAGGGGAGGTGGAAGGAAAGCTGTCTTGCCCGAACAAGGCGTGCGGGGCCCGGCTAGGCTCACTGAAGTGGACGGGGGCGCAGTGTTCATGTGCGAAAACTACGAGAGGGAGATGGGGGGGGGTGCTTATGACGGCGCATTGCGTACGATGGTCTTTCGGGGGAAGATCCCTCATCCCTATCTTACTCGTCGATTGGGTTAGGGTCAGAGCTGCATTGCAGCAGAGTCCATGCACGCGCATCTCTGATTGTTGCGCCCCAAGCCTCCGAGTCCACCCGCCCAAGCGGTGTTCCCATCCTCTGGGCTTTTCTTAATCCATTATTCGTACCCCCCCTCGTGATGCCGATAGGCTGGGGAAAACATTATTTGCCACCTTTGGCAGTAAGAAGGAACGACTGGCCATCGGTGATCAGTCCTATTGGAACAATGCTCCGTCCTCTCGTATTCAGTGGTCTCGCCGCTAAGGCATGCAGAGCATACCCCCCCCCCCTCGTGTTTGTCGCGCCGTCCCGACTTTGCGGGGATGGGAGGTCAATGGTCTAACGTCTACGGCATGCACGACTATGAGTACACCCCCCCTCGTGTTTGTTCCCGTTCCTCTGGCTTTCTCAACTCTTGTGCTTGTTTTTGTTTTGTTGCCTGAAAACGCGAACGAACGAACGAACGAACGAACGAACGCAGGCGGGTCGTGGATTACCCCTGCCATACAGTTCCCCAGGAAGAACCTCGACGCGCGGCCGAGAATCTCCACCGGACCCCCGCCCGGCACGGTGGTGCATCCCTCCCTGCTTGCAGCCGGTGGGGGCGCGACCGGCGCAACTACTGTTGGCGCCACTACCGCTGCTGCGACTGATGCTCCTTCTACTGCGCCTGTCGGTGCCATTGCTGGTAGTGTTGTTGGTGTTGGTGGTTGTGGTGGTCACGGAGAGGGTGCGGAGGAAGAGGAGAGAGGTCATGCGGAAACTAGCCGTCGATGACAGCAGTAGCGGCGGTTTGTTGGGCAGGGAGAGAGGAGCAGGGGTGACCAAAGCCGTCCGCGTGTGTTTTCTTCGTTCAACGTAGAAGCACGGGCGAGCGTGTAAATAGGTGTGTGCGGTCTCGAGACAAGAAGATGAGAAGATAGAAATCACATTCTCCTGAAAGGCCGACACAAAGTAGCAACAAAGAATCAAGCTGGCCGGAAGGCGATCGCTTTCACACGTAGCCAGAGGCCTAAACGACCGCCAACTCACACGGTTCCTGCACGTCTGACTCCGGTGGACGGCAGGGGACAGGGGTTGGGAAACTCCCTTTTTGACGAGGCGTGCCGATCATAATGAACTGCGAATGGCACTCGCGTAGGGGTTCGCCCAAGATATGGTACAGATGTGTCACGGGCCACCACGACCGTAGGGGGTAAGTGACGTCGAGCGGCGGTAAGATACGGCACGATAAGCGCAGCACAAAATGTTGCCGAGGCACACGACAACGCGGCAACTTTATTTCTAGCTCCGAGCTTGTTTCTGCCTATATCCCCCTGCGTTTCTAACGCGTCCTCATTTTCACTCAAGTTTGGATCAACGAGGCAGTACTACCTGGAGCCTTCGTCCCTCGCGGCAAGTATACAAACAACATCATCAACACCTCCGCCGTATGTAGTCCTAGCACTGCAGCTCGCCGGAAGGAGTCGGGACTAGCCCCCTGGTCCACACTCTTCGACTTCGGCACCCACCCACCTGCCAGGATCAGCTCTGGGCCAAAAAAGGTTCCTCTAGCTTCTCTAGCTGTGCGAAGTACCTCACAGACTACATTGAAGCCGCCATACACAACAATAATCTCCGTCTGCCAGCTGAGGAGCGATGTTTCCTCCGGGCAACCATGGGTACGTGATCTCACCCCTGTCCCCAAGAGGCCAGGGGTAACAGACGGATAGCACGATACCAAACGCTCGCCGCACCAGATGGGCTCCTTTTCCCCTCAAGCTCCGCAACAACAGCAGTAGAATGTTTTCATTTCTTCTTTTCTTTCGCACACCACGGCCGGAGACACCACCGCAGCGTGCCAGGTATCCTGGCCATGGGACACGTGGATTCCACGTATCGAACATTCTGTTGACATCCCTAGATCCGGCTGTATTTACACAAGAGACGCACCACTTGCCTTTGAAACGCTCACCACCACCGCGAGCAAGCAACCACTCGCACAAACAAAACACACACGCACACTGCGCGAACGGCAACCTCAGCGGTTTGCTTTCCCGGCCCTCTCCCCTCCCCCCATCCCCCGCACCAAACCTCAGCCCAATTGTGCTCCCCAAACACTGACCAAGCCACGCCTGTTCCCTCAAATCAAAGCTGTGCCTCTCCACTTGCAACCTCTCTCCGTGGTGTTCCAACACAGACCAAACGGCACCATCATCATCGCGATTGACCCTGTGTCTTGTACCACCTCCCGCCACAACCAACACCGAGCAATTCGTCGACAGCCGACATGAGTCATCAACTACCGCCACAGCATGGTAAACCTATGCTTCGGCTCTCAGCAGTCCAGCTGTCAAAACTTGCCCTATTCTACACCCACCAGCCGTAGAGACTTAAACCTGTCCGCAGCGACTCCCCCCCCCCCCCCCCCCCCCCCCCCCCCC